ATGCACTTGTGTATGTGTATAAATAATCATATAATATATTATATCTACATAAGTTAAATTTGAAAGAAGTGAATGAAGTTCAAAATAAAATAAAAATGAGAGATAAGAGAGAGTTGATTGGATGGTAAGCACTCCTCACTTTCAACCTTAATGTTATGAGTTCGAATCCCCAAAAAAGCATAATGTGGGAGCTCCTAGGGAGGAGTTTAAAATAAATTGAGATGGGAGGATAATAGGAAGATTAACCTTTTTTATAATAATAAATCCGTCCCTAATTAATACATTTAATAACAAAATAATTTTTGGTATATAAAATATAGTCATTAGTGACAAAATTAGATTTTGTTCAACTACGAAATACATATAACTTTAGAGACAATTGATGTCGTCACTGATTGAAGTAAAATAATTAGCGACGATATAATTTTGTCGGTAGTGATAACCTTTTTAGTGACAAAGCATACTATTAACTACAAAAAATATACTTTTTACGACAAATAAATTTGTCACAAATGTTTAAGCATTTGGGGACAATTTTTCTTTTTGTAGTTAATATAATACTTTTAGCGACAAAGCACTAAATCGTCTTTGTATACTTTTAGCGACACAAATTTAGTGACGACTGATTGACGAATTATTTTTCGTCTCACAAAATTTTTAGTGACGAAATATGATTTATAAATGACGAAATTATTTGTCCCTGATAATCGAATTTGTTGTAGTGTATGGATGTTGGATCATCCACACACCCCTTCAAAAGTGAAATGTGAAAAACCGGATGCACTACTTCTAGTTTTGCTGGCAACTCTAACGCATAAGCCACTTTACCAATCCTTTTTAGAATCTTGTAAGGGCCTACATATATAGGACTGAGCCTCCCTTTCTTGCCAAATCTCATCACCCCCTTCATGGGTGACACTTTAAGGAAAACCCACTCATCAACTTGGAACTGTAGTTCTTTTCTCCTTACATTTGCATAAGACTTCTGGCGACTCTGGCCTATTTTAAGTCTATCTCTAATGAGTTGCCCTTTCTCCATAGCAGCATGGACTGAATCTGGCCCAATCAAGGCAGCTTCACCAACCTCAAACCAACAAACAGGAGATCTGCATCTACGCCCATACAATGCCTCATAAGGGGCCATCTAAATGCTGGAATGGTAGCTATTATTGTAGGCGAACTCTATAAGAGAGAGGTGATCGTCCCAACTACCCTTGAAGTCAATCACACAAGCTCTCAACATGTCCTCTAAGTTCTGAATGGTACGCTCTGCCTGACCATAGGTCTGTGGATAAAAGTTTGTGCTAAGGTTAACCTGAGTACCAAGACCTTTCTGAAATGACTTCCAGAAATGAGAGGTAAACTGAGGACCTCTACCTGAGATGATAGACAAAGGAACCCCATGCAACCTTACTATCTCATTAATGTAAAGTTGGGCGTAGTCCTCCACCGAATCTGTAGTCTTAACCTCCAAAAAGCGAGTAGACTTAGTAACTGTCAACTATCACCCAAATGGAGTCATGTTGTCTGCGAGTACGAGGTAATCCTGTAATGAAATCCATGTTGATCACTTCCCACTTCCAAGTAGGAATGTTGATATCTTGAGTCATACCCCTTGGTTTCTGATGTCTACCCTCACTTGCTAACAATTGGGGCACTTAACCACAAAATCTGCTTATCCCTCTTCATACCATTCCACCAAAAGACTTTCCGCAGATCACGACACATCTTAGTGGCGCCTGGATGAATAGAATATCTGGAGTTATGGGCTTCTGCAAGTATATGTTGTCTCAACTCACCCACCTTAGGAACATACAATCAACCCTGATATCGAAGTACACCATCTCCCCCTTGGGAGAAAACCTCAACCCCCTGTTGGTGGACTGCACCCTTTAGTTGAAGCAATATCGAATCACTGTCTTGTTTTTCTTTAACCTTCCCTACCAATGAAGATTCTGACTCATTCTGAATTGTTACACCACTATATGATATGCTCATAAGGCGAACTCCCAAGCGAGCAAGCATGTGAACATCATTCACTAGTCCTTCTCTTTCTTCCTCAACATGTGCTGCACTACCCATAGATAGTCTGCTAAGAGCATCTGCTACTACGTTGGCCTTGCCAGGATGGTAATGCATACTCATGTCATAGTCCTTGAGGAACTCAAGCCATCTCCTCTGTCAAAGATTCAACTTTTTCTGGGTGAACACATATTGAAGGCTCTTATGGTCTGTGAACACATCTACGTGAACACCATACAAGTAATGTCTCCAGATCTTAAGTGCAAACACCACTATTGCAAGCTCAAGGTCATGAGTTGGATAGTTCTTCTCATGCACCTTAAGATGTCTAGAAGCATAAGCTATAACCTTATCTCGTTGCATCAACACACAACCTAGGCCGACTCTAGATGCATCACAATAGATCATATAATCATCTAAGCCCTCAGGTAGAGTCAAAACAGGAGTTGTAGTCAACCTAGTTTTCAGTTCTGTTAAGTTATTCTCACAATCATTTAACCACTGAAACTTACCCTTCTTCTGAGTCAGCATAGTCAATGGAGAGGCAATGGACAAAAATCCTTTCACAAATATTCTTTAATAACCCGTTAGACCCAAATAAATTCTGATATCTGTAGGAGAGGTAGGTCTGGGGCATTATTTCACTGCTTCTATTTTATGTGAATCCACTCGGATCCCTTCGCTAGACACAATGTGACCAAGGAAAGAAACAACTTGCACCTAAAACTCACATTTGCTAAACTTAGCGAATGACTGACGATCCTTGATAGTCTGCAGAACAACCCTCAAATGACTCGCATGTTCTTCCGCATTCCTAGAGTAAATGAGGATATCATCAATAAAGACGATAACGAACAAATCCAAGTACTGCTTGAACACTCTGTTCATCAGATCCTTGAAAGCTGCAGGAGCATTGGTTAGTCCAAATGACATAACTACAAATTCATAATGACCATACAGAGTTCTGAAGGTTGTCTTCGGGATGTCACTATCTCTGACTTTGAGCTAATGATAACCAGATCTAAGGTCTATCTTAGAGAAATGACTAGCACCCTGAAGTCGGTCAAACAAGTTATCAATCCTGGGATAGGGTACTTGTTCTTGATTGTGACTTTGTTCAACTGTCTATAGTCAATGCACATCCTGAGTGAACCATCTTTCTTTTTCACAAACAACACTGGTGCACCCCATGGAAAAATACTAGGTCTGATGAAACCCTTATCTAGAAGGTCTTTTTCAATTCCTTAAGCTCAGTTGGAGCCATTCTGTAAGGAGGAATCGAAATAGGCTGGGTATCTGGAAGGAGATCAATTCCAAAGTCAATTTCCCTTTCGGGAGGAACTCCGGAAAGATCTTCTGGAAACACTTCTGGAAACTCCTTAACTACTGGAACTGACTCAAGAGTTGGGGTTTCAGAGCTAAAATCCTTAACCCGAACTAGATAATAGAGATAACCCTTAGAAATCTTCTTCTTGGCCTTAATGTAAGAAATGAATTGACCCCTAGGCGCTTACCCTTCCATTCAAAGATTGGTTCATCTGGAAACTAAAAACGAACAATCCTAGTTCTTCAATCGACTGAGGCATAGCAGGAATGTAACCAATTCATGCCTAGAATGACATCGAAGTCTACCATTTCTAACTCTACAAGATCTGCTAAGGTGAGTTTATGAGAGAATGTGACAGGGCAATATATGTATACCCGTCTAGCTATAACTTGGTCATCGACTGGAGTAAAGACTGAGAAGGGTTCTGAGAGAGTTTTTGGACTAACATCAAAGTTTACTGCTATAAAAGGAGTAACAAAGGAAAGAGTTGCCCCTGGATCTAACAAAGCATAAACATCGAGATTAAAGACTCGTAATGTACCAGTGACTACATCAAGAGAGCCTTCCTGATCCTGGCCAGCTTAAAGAGCATACAACTTGTTCTGGCACTGACCGCCACATGTACCATATGAGTTACCCTGTTGAGTCGGGCAACTTGCTGGTGCTACTGAATTTGTAGACTAAGCTCTACCATTATTGACTCATTGACCCTGTTTAGAAGGACAATCCCTCAACCTATGACCAGATTGACCACATCCAAAGCATCATTCATGTCCTGAGAGGCATTCACCAGGATGGTTCATACCATACTTGGGACAAGTTGGGTATGTTTTGGTACCTGAAACACTTTCCTGAGACTTAGAGCATGATGCCCTACCTTTCTGATCATGTCTGAACTTGGAGGATGGAACACTAGTTGATGAGGGGGTTGGGGCTGAAGATTTATGCCGACCCTGCGAGCGATTTCCACCACCCGACTTCTGTTGAGAATACTCATAGTTTCCAGTCCCAGCCTTCTTGTTCTCCTTAGCCTGTTCCCTAAGCTTATCTCCCTCAAACTAATAAGCATGAGCCATGAGCCTAGAGATATTCATGTTTTCCAGCAATATAGCATTCCTACACTTTGTTTTCACCAAGTCCGACACTCCATACAAAAACTTATTCATCTGGGCCCTAGAGTCAGCAACCATGTGAGGAGCATACCTGGATAGTTAGGTAAACTTGATCCCATACTCTTGGACAATCATACTATGCTACCTTGCCTCAAGCTCATGAATTCCTGAGTTTTTACCTCTCTTAACTCTCTTGGAAAGAACCTGTCCAGAAAAGTCTCACTAAAGTATTCCCAAGTGATAAAAGCGGCATATGTACCCTTGTTCTCTTTCCACTGAGTATACAATATATGAGCCACATCCTTAAGCTGGTAAGATGCCAACTCAACTCGATCATTCCCAATTACCTGCATCACTACAAAGATCTTCTTGACCTCATCTATGAAGTTTTGGGGATCCTCACCAATATATGATCCTAAGAACTAAGGCGGATTCATCCTAACAAAATCACAAACCCTGGCTGCCACTGATCTACCACTAGCATTCGTAGGAACTGGAACCCACTGATTGTTCTGGATGACCACACTCTGAGCCAACATCTAAATGGCGTTCTGAAATTCAACATTCGAAACTTCCTGATCTGGGACTAGAGGTGCCGAGTTTGCATTCCTGGCGTTAGCTTTACGAGGAGGCATGATCTAAAACGTAGAACGTCGAGTTAGAACAAAATTAGATTATACCTTACGCACGATAAGAGTAACAAGAAAGTGAAAATTATACCTAAAACACTTTGTAGTTTCCCTCTCATTAGATGTGGTGCGCACTTTCACACCCATGAAAAGGACTCTACCTAGTCCGGTCTTTCAGACATCCTAGGACTCTTGAACCTAATGCTTTGATACCAAGTTTGTCATGCCTCGAGCTACCCCGAGATGCGGACAAGGAACATAGGATCACGAGTGACCGCAAGCTAACCCTGCTGGCATAACATAAACATACTATGACAACAAAACTGATGCAGAAGCTAAATATCATGAAAATGAAAGTGATGGGGAATACCCATCCTAAAATTGAATATATGAAATCTGAGAAGAGTTCAATAACAAATGAAATATCAAACTCAAATACTAAGCTGAATCTAACTATGTCTAAAAGTGGCATCTAACTGACTAGAAGTGCTGGGACATGCCCCAGCTAAATCAAGCAAAACTGAAACTAAGATTGAAGAACTGAAATGATAACATGATTATTGTCTTCGGAAAATGAGGACTCACCACTGATGCCGCTGAGCTGGAGATCAGAAACTGATCTATGTGTGTTCTAGAGGCTGAAAACCTGGACCTACATCACGAGAAGATATAACGCAGAGCATGCGTCAGTACTTGAAAGGTACTGAGCATACAGGATAGAGTAAAGCTGAAATAAACATATAACTGAACAAGCAATAAAGCAAGGATATAATCTGAACATGATATATAGAAATACTAAATATTGAGCTAGCTAAATGCAATGACCAAATTTATAACATGCTGAGACTGAAAATTGATTGTACTGTAAATGTGGTCAATGCAATAGAGTCTGACTGAACTATGGGAGCTACTAATAACCGACAATAAAACCACATGAGCTAAATGTGGAGTCTGATGTATACGTCTCATTGAGAGGACCCAATATACCCTGCCACAGGTACAGAGGAATAACTAGCGTGATCACTAAATGATGTCCATGGAGGGGACTTACAACCTACGTGGCTCGTAGTTCTGGGACTATACGGGTTACTGACCCTAGTCCAACTCGGTTTTATGCTACTCCCAAAAGATTAAGTGATTAACACATTATGACTGAATTACTGTAATATACTGGATAGCTCAAAACTGACATGCAAACTGAGAATGCAACATTATTAAACTAAAATTGACATATTCAAAAACTGAGGCATGTATATCTGTAATAACTGAAATATCTGACCTAGCATGCCTAATTTAAGAACGAAAGAACTACATAGCTAGGGTTTTGAAATTCATGTAAGAAACAAAGTAATAACATGATTATCTGATTTAGAACATTTAAATAACTAGTTCATGATAATCTGCTGAAGTTCTAGAAACCCTAGGTCTAGTTATCATAAGGAAATCAAAAATTTGACTGAATCTAGGGACCTAATGGGCGAAAGGAATCCACTAGTGAAATCCAACATACCTAGTGATGAATTCCACGGAGAAATCTTTCGATTTCAGGGCTAGAACTGATGGAATCTTGTTGCATTCTTGAACTAGGGTTCTTGACTTCTATCTCCTCTTACGCTCTAGTATTTCTAAGTTATGATGAAAATTTTGACTTAGGTAAGTTCTAGTTATGTTTCTAGGCTAAAACTAACCAAAACTACGTACTTTAGGGATTAAACGACGTAGTTTAGGGGTCCAACAAAATAGGAAAATACCAAAAAACCCTCAACTTAACTGTTGTCGGGGTCACCGACGGACCGTCGATGGACTGACGGTCCGTGCTGGTGAATCGTCAGTCGTGACTGAAGGATAATCCTAGGGGTCTAACTTACGGACCCGGACGACGGACCGTGGTCTGACCTAAGGACCTTAGGTCCAACCGTGGGTTGACACTTAGAAAATTTCTACGCTGGTTCTGAGGAGGTATTGCAGGTGACCATCCACGGACCACCAACATGGACCGTGGGTCACCCTACGGTCCATGGGTGACGTCCGTAGGTGGCACCTGTAGCTCTAGATTTTCTGCACTTTCGTAGTTCTAGCTTAACGGGTGTTACAAACTTGAAGTTGATGAATCCACCCATTCTTTCCTTTTTTTCATCAAAGCAACATCAAAACTATATTCAAAATTTGACATCTGAAACAAATTTGAAGCACAAACAACTAAGCACTGAAATTAACATCTATGACAAAAGTTAGAAGTGTTTGAATATACAATAAAATTAAAGAGAACCCGTCACCTAAATTAGACTTACTAACTTCAGAGCTAAAACCTTGTTCAAAAGATGAATAAATTTAAAGCACAACACATTTGAAGGTTAGTGTAATGCTAACCAACTAGTGATAAAAATAAAATACAGGCTCATACATAAAAAATTACTTATTAAGGAAAGATCAGGAGCAGCCACTCAGGTGAAGCTAGCAAGGGTCCAAAGAGTTCATCCAAACCCCATAAGCTATTTTTCTGTATATATAGTAAATATTAAACCCCCTTAGACGTGTTCCTATGTTTACATATTATATTTCGAACCCCCTTAGTAAACATTCTTGCTCTGCCACCGACCACTACTTTCATAAAATTAAAGACACCTGACTTACGTATCTAGAGAGTTTGTCTTAAATCTTCGGTTGATTAGTGACACCATGAGTTTTACATGTAATCGTTACATCATACTGATGTCTTCCTCTGCTTAGCATCCACAATTTTTTATTTCAAGAATTCTCAAAAATCAACAAAATACGTGAAAACTACCTCTCCTATTTCTTTTAGAACTACTTTTTTTTATCAAGACCTTATATAGTGTCATCTCACAAGGAAATTGAATAAAATGCATTAGAAAATATGAACACCAACGTATAACCCCCTCCCCCCTGAAGTATCAAATTAAACTTTTAATTTTCTGAATGAGAAGTTGCATCACCATTAATTTGCCAAAAGAAATCAGATCCATTGAACCTTATCCTCTTACCAACCTGAATTTAAGTCGCACTAAATACCACTAAGAGTACTCTTTTTTGTCTTTAAAACCATAATTTAACATCATTTTTTCAATATGATTAGTCACCAACTCCTAAATCAATCTATTATTTTACCAGCAATTTCATCCTACCATCTCTATACAGAGTATGTAAATTTAATGTCTGAAGTCATCGTATGTGAGCTAATATCAAGATGCAATAAAATGTCAAATCAAAAAATTGTAGTCTTTAAGTCAGGAGATACATATAATATGATGTAGGCACACACACAAACCCATTGATAAAAAAATTGGAACAAAAGCTCCATAATATTTCTTATTATTATTCTGTGTCCTTTTCAAGTCATGTAATCATCTTCCAAATTAAGGATTTAACAGTCAAAAATCATTATTTACTTCTCGTTGCCAACAAAAAGAAATGGTGCTACTATAAGTTCTATCAAGAATAAAAGATCATGAAAAGATATATGAGGTGCCCTCTTTTTTTTGGTTGAATAAGAAGCTCGGAAGATATCTTGTGTCTAAAATCCACCCAAAAGAAAAATCAACAAATAACTCAAAAGATGTTATCAACTACACAAAAATTCATATATCCTTCAGAAATTTCAGATAATCTAAGTTATTGTCTTATAAGATTAAGATTCGTCATAAAAACATGTGGTTATCCTTGACATATAGACACCAGAGAATGCTAAAAACTTCAAATTTGAGTTTAATATCTATCGACACTGTTGGTTCAATTCAAGCAGATTATTCAAGAAACGGTTATTTAAAATTATTTTGGTGACAATATTTATTCATATGGTAATTACGTACGAAAGAAGAGAGAACGTAGTTTTACTAAATATCCCCATAGAACATCTAAATCACTTATCATATTTTATTGAGTCTTTTTAATTCATAGGAAATATAAAGCTAACATGCGAACTTGAGGGGAGAAATTTCTATTACCACATAATACCTACAACATGATTCATTTTTTTATCGCAACACTTGTGTCAGGGTCAATGAGCTTTTAAACTTTTCAATTTATAGATAAATCATATCTGCAAATTAAAAAATATTTTCTAAGATCAATTTTCGACTATGCACCATAATCATCCATCATTTCTATCACCCTCAAATTGAGGATTTGTATCAAATTTATAAGCAAGTAAGCAGTCTAGTTAATTGGATAAATAGAAATAGAATGTAAGCCTCACTAACCTTGTTGCATAGTGCAGAGTCTTCCTTTGACAATAGATTACCATTCTGTAAATTCTTTTCTAATCATTTCTTACCTGTAGATGATGTAATTTACTGTTATAAATAAATTAAATTAATTGTGATACTGACTTAGCAAAGATAGACATACCTCTATTTGAAGTAATCAATTGGAGTGGAAAAACTTTTTCTGCTACATCATATCTAAGTATGTACTTGACGTTGATTCTTGTATTCAGATTAGATTAGTTAAAATTTTCCAATACCCCCCAACTCACCTACTTCAAGATAGAGGTGCAAACAGTTGTTTGTGTAGCCGCGAAAGCATATTCCATAAAATGATAGAAGAATGATAGTAAATCAATTTATGTGTAAAGATATATATATATACACACAAAATACATTACGTGAATATTTAACTTCCTTCACTATCATCTAACTAACAGAGGATCAGAAGTTTGAAGTATACTTTAGTTTTCGTCATATCTCACCTTCAGGCCAACACAGTGTTTTATCTGAATGTTGCAAGAGTCGTCGACATTTCTGTTGAAAGTAATTTTCAATTTCGTTAAAGTAGTTGTCATATATTCTACAAGTGTTACATTGTATGTGATTCTATTTTAGTGGGAAAAAAATTGTCTGGCAACATCAAATTGCAATCGAACATACATATAGTTTGATAATACTATCAAGTAGAAAATACATAATGGATTGATAGAAGAGTATGTTGTAGATAAAGTGTGGGTAAGTAAGAAATTATATGTTATTCAATTGATTTGGCATATTATCAAACACCTTAAAGTCATCACTTGTCTTTGTAGAATCACCTTACAATCCATGAATAAAGAGAAGAAAGATAGCACTAATCACCATCAATAGAAAAATCACAGTATTCAATAGGAGCAATTGCGATAAGGAACTATCAAAAACAGAAAAACTAAAGAATTCATTGGAAGAAGAGGGAACAAACAATAAGCTCTCCAAAACTAATAACAAAACTCTAAATGAACGCATGCATGACTTTGAGAACCCCACAACTAACCTTTTTCAAGCCATCTTTGTCAACTAACCTTTTTTAAGCCATCTTTGTGACTTTTGGGTCAATTTCCTGTCACTCGATCAAATTTGGGCTCAAAATCTCACTTGTTACATGAACCAAATATAAGTAGGATTCAGTACCTAAATTGCCCTTCATCGACATCGTTCTATTCAATTAAAGGTATTTATAGATTCTCAATTCTAGAGAAATCGAAGGAGAAAATGAAAGTTTTACAGCTCTCTCAGGCAATCAACCAAAAGTTTAAAGGAGAAAAGAAGAAATTGCACCATTATCAGTCTTTGATAGGAAAAAAGAATAACCTTCCAAGAGCACCTTGGTAGAGCAGAGCTCCCAGAAATGACTCATTTCACCAACAGAAGTTATAAATCATAAAATATTATTTTGATGAGAAGCCCATCTTATGTATTTGTTCACAAATAGAACAATAACCAAGATTATGCAAAATAAATGTAAAAGAATTGATATGTACATGTACGTTCATTAGCTTGAAGGAAACAAAGGTCACCCATCCAACTAACATAACAAAAATATTCTTCCCAACTAAGTTATTCAGGCTCAACCAAATTTTCCAAACTTTACCTCCATCAATCAATTTTATGTACAGATGAGATTCCAGCAGCATTGCCCACATTGACCTTGTTCATGATCAATTGAGCTTGTAAATTAGATGGAGCTAACTACTTTACAGTTGGCCTGAGATGTCGTGAAGTATTACCATACAAAAGTGGCTCATCTAGAGCTCTTTGATCCCATGGTAGCAGGTGCAAGTGGTTTATTATTAATATGAGATGCAGTTTGTAGACCTCTCTCGTTCCCCTGCATGTGAAAAGTCTTTTTTCATTGCGAAAGAAGTTTGGTTGTTGTAAATCTTTAGAGTTAGTTTAGCTCTCTACAATGAGACACTTTTCAAATCAAACATGACTTACTAATGAAGGAGAATAATTCCTCATATCGGAGAACAAGCCAAGCACAACATTTTTCAACCAGGTGTCTCGGAAATCCACAAGATATTTTGATGAAAAGTATTGGACTTCAACTCGACTCAACAAAAGACTTATCCCACACAGAAATATCACCCTTAGATAAAAGAATATAGATTATGGGGAGATTTTTTCCCAATATGTTTATGTTTTTTCAATAGTAGTTTTATAATATGTAGGCAACTTGGCCAAATCATATTAGTAATATGTTTTTAGTATAGTTTTATTTATCATCTAAATATATATATATATATATGTTAAAACCTCAGGCTAAAATTTGATATATTCCATGTATAGGTCAACCACCATGCATCTAAATAATTTTAATCTAGTTCCTAAAGTCATAGGGTCTATAGTTCTATATCCAAGACACCTCCTTAGTCTATCACACTCATTCGTAATTGTGTGACTTATTGATTTTTGAAAGTTTATGCAAAAAAAATATCTTACCATACTTGATACTCCATCCAAGCAAAGTATATAAGGGGCGTACATCCTTTATATTACTTGAAACTATAACAAAATATGACATTAGATAAATAAGCACTAGTGCAGGAAGAGGCATATTATAAATGAAGTTTTTCATGTACAGATGATAAATAAGCACTCATGCAGAAAGAGGCATATTAAATCGAATAATTTAAATATCCATCTATTCTTGGATATTGCTAATTTAATTAGAAACTGTTTCTCTTATACATTTTTCTCTCATCATTGTTAGACATTCCTTATGTCTCACCGAATCACACGTAGAGATATATATAACACACATAGAGCGAAGTCCTTGATTTTATTCCAAATTACTGGATTTCATAAGATATTACTTTTTGGTCGAGGCTTTTTATTTTAATGATAAAACAATTACAATGTCTTTATTTGCATTATTTTGATGATTGAATACTTAAAAAAGAGGTCATTGATGAAGAAGTATTGAAGAAAACAAGATATAAGAATATGTGGCTGATTTTCTTATTCTCTTACGTTGTATTGAATAGGGTATATATACACAACTATAGCCCCTAGAGTCCTAACAGTTGCTAGCTCCTAGAGTCCTAACAATTGCTAGCTTAGTCTTTTGTGTTAGAATATGGTTAGGACTCTTCTATATATGTGGCGGCTAGATTAACCCTTGTCACTAATATGCTGACTTGTATCTTCATCATCCCCCCGCAAGCTGGAGGTGGGTAATTGCACAACGCCAAGCTTGGTCCGAAAGAATCGAAAAAGAGCCTTTGTCAGTGGTTTGGTGAACACATCGGTGACTTGGAGCTGTGAAGGAACAAACTTTGTGACCATGGCACCTTGGGCAACCTTTTCCCTCACGAAGTGGTAATCAAGCTCAATGTGTTTGTACGAGCGTGGAGAGCAGGATTCTTGGTCAAATGTATTGTGGAAATATTATCAGTGTAAAGAAGAGGAGGACTGAGTAAGGAAATGCCAATGTCGCTGAGTATATATGTGATCCATGTTAGCTCCGCAGCCAAAGAGGCCAATAACCTATATTCTGCTTCAGCGCTAGATTTTGCCACAGTTGTTTGTTTCTTAGAAGCCCACGAGACGCAATTAGAACCTAGAAATACACACAAACCTGTCGTTGATCTTCGCGTGATAGGACAACCACCCCAATCTGCATCGGAAAAACCAACTAGATTGAGAGAGGATTTTGCAGTGATGCGAAGGCCAAGCTGTGTAGTTCCTGCTAAGTAGCGAAGTACTCGCTTGACACCAGTCCAATGAGTGGCACAACGGTGTTGCATAAACTGGCAGAGGAGATTAACTGCATGGGCAAGTTCAGGGCGAGTGAGAGTTAAGTATTGCAGGGCACCAACTATACTTCGGAACTCAGAGGCATCAACAGGAGGACCCCCGGTATCATGAAGCTCATGTTTTGTAGCAAGAGGAGTATGAATATAACGGGAACAATTCATATTTGTGCCTTCTAATATATCCATCGCATACTTGTGTTGGCTAAGGAATAAACCATCCGGGCAGTGTATAACTTCAATTCCAAGGAAGAAGTGGAGATCACCCATATCTTTCATAGAAAACTTGGAGTTTAGATTAGATACCAAAGACTTTAGAAGGGAGATGCAGCTTCCTATAAGAACTATGTCATCGACATAAAGAAGGAGCAAAATGGTGTCTTGAGAAAACCTCCAAATGAAGAGAGAGGAGTCAGACGGGCTACAATGGAATCCCAAGTGTAGAAGATGGGTACTAAATTTGCGAAATCATGCTTTTGGAGTCTGTTTTAACCCATACAAAGCCTTCTTTAACCTGCACACATGAGACGGAAAAATAGGTTCAATGAAACCCGGAGGTTGTTCCATGAAGACTGTTTCTGTGAGATCACCATGTAAAAATGCATTCTTCACATCAAGTTGCTTAATTGGCCAGTATAATGTTGTAGCAACAGCAAGGACAATACGAATGGTGGTCACTTTTACCACTGGACTGAAGGTTTCGTCAAAATCAACTCCCTCAATTTAATTATAACCTTTGGCGACGAGACGAGCCTTGAACCTTTCCACTGAACCATCTGCCTTTAATTTGGTTTTAAAAACCCATCAAGAGCCAACTATATTCATATTGGATTGACGTGGAACCAGCTGCCAAGTGTCATTAAAGTGAAGAGCATGAAGTTCTTCGTACATTGCTGCAACTCAATGTTCTTTGGATAAAGCTTCTTTGATGGTGTGGGGTTTCTTTGTGTCAGAGGTGATAGAAACAGTCGTGGATAGTGAGTGGAAGGTGGGGTTGGGTATGCTATTTGTCATAGCTCTAGTAAGCATTTTGTGAGAGTTCGAAGGGCTAGGTGGGCGAGAAAAGGTAGATGGACAGTATGGGACAGCTCGTATGGTTTGAGATGGAGAGTGTGATAGTTGAGCAGGATCAATTATTGGTGATGATGGAGAGTCATGTATGTCTGATTGAGGACTTGGTGGTTCAAAAGTACAATATGTATGTGCGGAAGGAGCTGTTGGAACTGCAGGTGGTTGTTGGATGTTCAGAGGAGCTTCAAGCACTGGTTGTAGGCTGTTTTGAGGGGATCCAATATGCAGGTGTGGTGCAGCAGCAATAGGCATGATAGGAACGGCAGATTCGTCATCGAAGGTGTGATTACCGTCTGTTTGTTCTATTTGTGGTGTATCAACCTCCGTGTATGTGAAGAACTGTGATAAATCTGCATGTACATTAGGACTAGAGCCAGATTATGGTAAAGTAGACTCATCAAAGATGACGTGCCTAGAAATATAAACACGCCTAGATTCAGGGTGATAGCATCTGTAACCTTTATGAAGAAGACTGTAACCTATAAAAATACAAGGAAAAGTTTTTGGCTGAAATTTATCTTTGTTGTAACCTTTCAGGTAGGGAAAACATCTGCAACCAAAAACTTTCAATGTATTGTAGTGAGGTTCTTAACCAAACAACTTTGTGAAGGGAGACGCCATTTTTAAAGTGGATGTAGGCATTCGATTAATCAAGAACACTGCAGTCATAAAAGCCTCAACCCAAAGAAATATAGGCAAATTAGCATTAAAAATGAAAGTCAGGCCTGTTTCAACAATATGTCTATGTTTTCGTTCTGCTACACCATTTTGTTCGGGAGTATGTGGACATGAAATGTGCCTTTGTATACCATGTTGACCCAAGTAACTAGTAAATGCAAGACTGTTAAATTCTCTCCCACCATCACATTGAAAAGTCTTAAGTTTCTTAGAAAATTGATTTTCTACCAATTTGTGAAAAATCACAAAGTGAGCAAAAAAATCAGATTTCTTCTTTAATGGATAAATCCAAGTGAACCTGGTACAATCATCAACAAAAATGACATAGTATCGAATTCCTTGAGAAGATGCAACAGGGGCTGGTCCCCATAGATCACTATGTATTTTTGCTAAAAGTTCAGACTCTCTTTTATTTGATGCTTGAAAAGGTAATTTACAACTCTTCCCCATTTGACAACTAGTGCATATGGAGGGAATTTTATTCCAACTACTAACATCAATCAAACTATTGCTATGCAAAAATTTAAGAGTTCGAGGGTGGGGGTGTCCTAATCTTTGGTGCCAAATTGAATCTAAATTCTTGTTTGTCGATGTAGTTGTTAAAGCCTCATGTATACCACTGTCCAATGTATATAAATCATCTTGCTTATTCCCCTTTGCCAGGATTGTTCCTTTTCTCTTGTCCTTAACAATAAAACCACTATCAGTAAATGTCAAGGAACAAGCATTGTCTGTTATAAGCTTACTAACGGAAACAAGATTTTTCTTGAGATTAGGCACAACAAGCACATTTTTAAGACGCAAGTCTCTTCCAACATTTGTGTCTCCTATTTGTGTAATTTTGAGTTTATGGTCATTTCCTACCATAACAGAGTCAAATCCTCTAAAGGGAGACGAGTTTTTGAGTATACATGTAGTTTGTACCATATGATTGGTAGCTCCTGAGTCCATGTACAAATTATTATCAGATTGATCATTAAAACTCATTGTTGCAAGTGCCTTTGGGACTTCTTGTTTTGCTTGATAGGAATAATCCCACCTATAAAAACAAGAAAGCGCAGTATGGTTATTTCTTCCACAAATCTGGCAAGCATTTACTTTTGAATTATCTCTTGTTTGATTAGCTCCACCCCCATCTTGAGAAGCATCGAACGGCCGATGGTTGTTGTTGAATCCTCTATTTCCTATTCCTCGTTGGTTTCCCCTACCTCGATAGTAATTTCCACGACCTCATCCTTGTGATTTTTGAGCAGCAAAGGCCACTGTTGACTCAATATGAGTTTGTTGAATGTCATCTGCTTCTTCCCTCATTTTGAATCCTCTAAGGGCAGTCACAAATTGATTGAAGGTAGGGTATGGTGGTTTCCCTAACATCACAGTGCGAAAGGTCTTGTATTTGTTTCCAAGGCCTCTAGCAAAGTTAATTACTTTGATGTCTTCATCCATTGATTTGTGTATATCCACGAGACTATCACAAATCCCTTTAAATTTCTTGATATATTCATCTATGGATTTTGTTCCAAGATTCACAGTTTGAAGTTGTTGTTTCAACTGAAATTCCTTGTCTTTACTGGCTTGTAGGTAGGTATCCTCAAGACATGACCATATTTGCTTTGCATTTGAGCACCATATAATGAAAAACATCGACTCTTCTGTCATTGTACCGGAGATTCAACTTCTAACCAGAACATCACGTTATTCCCAGTCTACAAACTTAGGGTTAGGGGATGGTTCTCCTTTTGCGTTTTCGATAGTCTCGGATGGGGCTTCGTCCTTGATTATGGATGTAACTTTCAAGGTTTGCATGAGTTGAAGGATTTGTGTCCTCCAAACAAGGTAATTCGATGGTTTTAGTTTAATAGGGCAGATGGTGATGAGTTGATGGAGCGAGGAGGGTGAAAGACCTAAACTAGAGCTCGAGGATGCGGCCATATCTATTTTTTTTACGAGAGACAGGCTTCAGGATCTAGTGTTCTAGATAATAATTAGTTAAGCCTAAGCTATGATACCATGAAGAAGTATTGAAGAAAACAAGATATAAGAATATGTGGCTGATTTTCTTATTCTATTACGTTATACTGAATAGGGTATATATACACAACCATAGCCCCTAGAGTCCTAACAGTTGCTAGCTCCTAGAGTCCTAACAATTGCTAGCTTAGTCTTCTGTGTTAGAATATGGTTAGGACTCTCCTATATATGTGGCAGCTAGATTAACCCTTGTCACTAATATACTGACTTGTATCTTCATCAATTGATGCTGAAATACGTATGTCAAACTTACGAAATATCTCTTGAAGAGAAAATGAACCAAAAAATGGGCAACTTGAGCAATCAAAGATACGCCCTCTTCCACTGCTGACTATGAACAATTGACAGCTAATGATTTCTACTTTACTAAGCACTGCTCATTTTTTGGTGGTAAGTATCAATTTGCTTTTCAAGAAGTGTAAACAAAAAGGAAAAAAGAATTTATGTGCAACAATTGCATTACTATATTCCCAGTAACATCTAAATTTACGTGCAACAATTGCATTACTATATTCCCAGTAACATCTAAATTAGATTAAAAAATGAGTATGCACTGACATATAAATAGAAGTGCAACCACACTTGAGAGATAACACTTGCTTTTGGATCGTCATGTGTTGAAACCTGCAAATAATAATGCATAAAGTACAAGAAACTGATCCCAAAAATAGTACAAGCAAGTAATTTTTATGTCATTTAGTAAACAACACAAAAATGTTATTGTTGTCTTGTTATTAATCCACTATATCTAGTTAGATACAAAAAGATATCCTGAACAAAAAAATAGAGAAAATGATAAACCAATTAGAAAATGCATCTATCTGATTAGCAGTAACAATAGCATAATTCTCGTTGAGCTCCTCGAGGGAGTTGACTGCAATTCATTGGAAAAGAAATTGATTATCCTTTAAAGGGAATTTACCAAACTAAGAAAAGCTTATTTTGATCATTCACGATTAGTAAGTGTGGACGTCGCGATATACCAATAATAGTGCGGATCAAATAAGTAGAGTCGTATAAGGTACTTTATTTTTATTGCTTTTTCATTCTGATAAATTGTTCAATTTTCATCCATTGTACATCAACATTTTTATTAATTAGATCTAAGCATGTGAGGTCATGTCAGATGACGGTCTATTTCTACAATTCAAGTTCTCTCATTTTCATTTCTTCAGTACTTTATGTAGTATGAGATTCATATGAAAGATACCACTTTTACTACATTGTGAGCATTGGTGCACATATGTCCTGGTCTTTTCACATCTCAAAAAGAAATCTCCATAGGAGCCTGAAGTGTGTCCTGGTCTTTTTTTTCTGTAATGTTTGCATGAATATACAGTAAAAATATTATACCTTCAATGTGGGATTTAGTTAAGCTAATATGCAAATTTTTCTATATCTTTTTAAAA